TTTTTTGCTTTGTTTTTTTTTTAAATCGCAACTAGTTTCAAAATAGCTCAATTGTGCGAAAATAAAAACACGTGACTCGGCCAACAACACAGGCTCTGTGGAAATGGGCGGGGCTAAAGACCTTTTTAGTGCAATGTGTTGTATTTTATTGATTAGTGCCAAATTCTCAGCAGAAATGTTTATAGCATTGTTTTTTTCCATCAGGAATTCCACTCATAATCATAATCACCACAAACACAAGCTGAAACACTGCACAATCATCTTCACAAATCATTACAACTGCTTGTGCTTCCAGGAACTGAAATAAATCTGAATATGCAAATTAAATTAACACAGATGGGTTTCTGATTGGACAAGCTTTCTGACTGGAAATAAATAAATAAATAATAATAATAAATAAAACGTGGGCCACTGGCTTTTTTTACACAGTCCAGATTGTCAAAGGTGAGTGTGATTTTTCATGACGCCCATTTCAGTGCTATCTGTCGGAGTCTCTCACACACACAAACATAAAGACACATACACACACTATCACACAGACATATATACACACACACACAGACACACGCACACACACACAAACATAAAGACACATACACACACTATCACACAGACATATATACACACACACACACAGACACACACACACAGACACACGCACACACTATTGCGCACACGTACACACGCACAAACACAGACACACGCACACAAACATAAAGACACATACACACACTATCACACAGACATATATACACACACACACAGACACACGCACACACTATTGCGCACACGAACACACGCACAAACACAGATACACGCGCGCGCGCACACACACACATACACCTATCTACATTTCTATATATCCAGCATCCACACGAGGGTCTTTACCCATCCCTGTGCATCTGTTTCATGGTAAATGCTTTGTTTGATAAACACGCGGAGGTTTCCAATAAAAATGACACTTCCCATTTCCACATGGATCGCTGACTTTCCCCAACACTCGCATGAATAATTAAAGCGCGCACAAGGCTCGCAGGTGTCTGCATCCCCGTCATGACATTCGGCTTAAAATAGGATATGCTGCTGCGCGTCCTCGCATCGCATCGCCCTGCCGTGCGCGCGCCTCAGGGGGACGCGTCCGCCGTGTCCGCGGCATTTACGGAGGAATGACAGAAAATCAACAATGAACCGCTGCGAGGATCCTCGAAACACCGGCTTATGGGTGTGGAGGCTGCCATGCACGAGCCCGGATTACGCTATACCAACACTGTATTTGAAATGGTTGCGAGGTCGGGGCGATATTACAGCCTCATATAAGCAAATATAACCCAGCCTCATATGACCCAGCCTCATATAGCCAGTAGCAAAATCGTCATCAGAATGTGCTACCTACTTTTTGCATGGGAAAAATCTGAGAGGGTACCGACAAAACACCGGGCTGAGGCTACTGGGATGCTCAGTCACACACAAACACACACACGCACACACATAATTAAGTGAGGCGAATGATGTTCATGTGGCCACCTCCATCGCCAGATCCGCGCGTATGGTGAATAGAGATGCGGATGGTGTTTACCTCTCCGCCATGGTGCCTCTGGGTGCCGCTTCAACACGCAGTGAGAGTAATCCACATCCTAAGGAGGGTCATGGTGCTGCTGGAGGTTCCGCCGCCGCCGCAGTAACGCGAATGAGCAGCAGAGCACGCGCTGTCCGCCCGCGTCTCCGTCACCACCGACAACCTGACGTCATTTTGCGCTTCTCGCGGGCGAGCGCGCGCGCGGGGAGGATGAAAAGAGCAGGTTACCATGGCAACTCGAGAACGCCGGCGCGCGACTAGCAGGCGCTGTGGAGTTGAGCAAAATAGGAATATCTATGTGTAGATATGTCTGTCTGTCTATCCATCCATCCATCCATCCATCCATCCATCCATCCATCCATCTATCTATCCATCTATCTATCTATCTATCTATCTATCTATCCGATCTATCTATCTATCTATCTATCTATCTATCTATCTATCTATCTATCTATCTATCTGTCTGTCTATCTATCTATCTATCTATCTATCTATCTATCTGTCTGTCTAATAGTATATTATTAGGATCCATCTATCTATCCATCCATCCATCCATCCATCCATCCATCCATCTATCTATCTATCTATCTATCTATCTATCTATCTATCTATCTATCTATCTATCTATCTATCTGTCTAATAGTATATTATTAGGATCCATCTATCTATCCATCCATCCATCCATCTGTCTATCTATCTATCTGTCTGTCTGTCTGTCTGTCTGTCTGTCTAATAGTATATTATTAGGATCCATCCATCCATCCATCCATCCATCCATCTATCTATCTATCTATCTATCTATCTATCTATCTATCTATCTATCTATCTATCTATCTATCTATATCTATCTATCTATCTATCTATCTATCTATCTATCTATCTATCCATCCATCCATCTGTGTATCCATCCAGCCATCCATCCATCCATCCATCCATCCATCCATCCATCCATCCGTCCATCCATCCATCCATCCATCC